TGCATTTCAAAGTAATTTTTCTTCTCTGTAGGAGACCCAGTTCGTTCCCAGGGTCTTTCTGAGCTCCTCAGAGTAAGCTAGGGTGTCACAGAATAGGAAGCCTAAGCATAAGTTTACGGGCCCTTAAGAGCTGCAGAGCAGGAGGAGACCTCATTCCCATATTCCCAGAGACTCATTAATTTCTTCCTTGCTCCTCTGACACTTTCAGGTTGGCTTGGTTCCACAAAACCTTGCCAAGAAGCTTGGATGAAGAGGGAGATGCTTTGCCATAATACTCTACTGGCTTGAGCAGCAAAGAATTTACTGTGAATGGCTGTGATGCAGCTTAGCTCTGAGCCTGTTAAATGTTGAGATGCATATTTCTCCTAATTCTGGTTTTGCTGGCAGTGAAGTCTTGTCAAGGGAACAAACACTTCAAACGCTGCCCATCCCTTGCTGGGGTGCAGGCTGTGAGCTGTGAGCGGAGGCTCTGCTGCTCAATGCGTCGGTAGCAGCGCACGCTGCCTCGCTGATGGCACAAGGAGGGCTGAGCCAGGCTGGGCCAAGATGGTGGGTCCTTCTGTGGATGTTATGTTGACTTCTCTCAAATCCTGTTTAGCTGCTGTAGAGCGTGGGCACTGTGCTAAGTTCTCCAACATAACCACTTATTTTAGCAAAAGGGTCACAGGCTTTGCAGCAAACATGGCTGCTGCTAAGATAAGTTTCTTCCTCTCCCCCCTCCTTCTGCGTGTGCCTGGACGCTTGCTTTCAGGTCTGTTACTGCATGTGATTGCCTAGCAGTGATTTTCTTGGCCTGGAAGAGGTGCCCTTAGGCCTGAGTGTGCCTGTTGTTTGATTCACAGACTGCCCAGCTCCTTCAGCCGTGAGTGCTCCTGCATGGATTTAGGTTGCTGTTTGCTCTATTCATTTTCTGATTGGGTTTCTTTCCAGGTTTTGAAGGCTGTTCCATGGTTCCCACCATTTATCCCCTGGAGACCCTGCACAACTCCCTCTCTTTGCGACAGGTCAACGAGTTCCTGACAGCTGTGTGCAGGAGCTGCAGCGAGTCACATGTCCAGTCTACTGCAGGTACTGGTGAGGTGGGCTTGTCTCTGCCTGAGCCAGAGTAGAGTTGAGGCAAGGAGAGTGTTTGGTCTTCTGCATTATTGGGACAGATCAGCCTGACAGGACTGGCAGCAAAACAAACCAACCTGTTCTAGGGTGTTCTAGCCCAGGAGTGAGCTGTGGGATCCAGCTCACAGCCATCCAAGGCCACTTACTTGAGAGCCAAGTGATCGGTCAGGTCTGTCTGCAGCTGATAAGTTCGGTGACATGGATACAAACTTCAGCTTGGGAAATCTTAGCCTCAGATTCTCAGGAGCTGATGGACAGGCATGGCTCTGAATCTGCGCTGTTCTTGAGCCCTTCCTGGAGTGCCTGCTCATGGCTCCTGGGCTACAAGCCATTCCTTTATGTGTGTCTGAATATTACTGATCTGTGTATTTCTTTTCTTGAAGCTTTGTTTGATTCAATGATCGGCAGCCAGATACCAGGAGACCCCTTTATGTCCCAGCGAATCCTGTCATCATCCTCTTTGCCATTGCGCCAGCGTTCGGATAAGCCCCCTTGGTGTAAGTGTGCTCCCTTCTTCATCAGGGGTCAATGTGATGGTGAGGGAGGGAAGTAAAGGGTACCAAACGGTGGAAGGCATCCTCTGCTTTGTGCAGTAGGACATGGAGGGCCTGAATGCACCTCATTTTCATCTCCAGTTTTGTGATACTCAGTGGCATATGGCCAGCTCAGCGTTGGCACATGGAAATACCTTTTTTTCATAACCATTCACATGCAGGCCTCACCCAGAGCTCTGTGCAGGACAGCCAATCATTTAGCTCTTCACTTACAAGCTTTTCTGCAGCCCCTGGGCCTCATGTGTCACAGTCTCAGCAGAGCTGACTGTTGTTAGCTCCCTTTGCAGATCTGGCTGGAACTCGAATGGTGAGAGATTAGCCAGCAGTTGCACAGTGAGTGCCTTAATAACACAAGTCAAGGTTGCCACTGAAGAGCAATCCTACTTTTCTCCTGGCTGTACACTCTTTGTGCCAGGAGTAGAGAGCGTTTGTGTAGGCAGCAAGGCCAGGGAACTGATCTGACTGGGAACAGTTGTTTAATTCTCCTCCCTTTATTGGATTAGATATAATCTAGATCTGTTGTCTAGTTTTGCTCATTGTACAATATAAGGCGAGAATAAGCATTACTGGAGAAGCAGTATTTCTTCTTCCATTGGTGACTCAGGCTTAACATTCAGGGGTTATGTGCATGGATTTTCATCAGCCGAGCTGCCAGAAGCGCAGCCAGGGGCAGCTGCAGGCCCCGGCCGGGTTGCATGGCACATACACAACCCTCACCTACTGGTTGTAGCACTGTGGGACTGCAACAGCTTGAGTCTGCCCCGGCTTTGGTCTGGGGAAACGTCAGCTAATTGTTGAAGATTTTTCTTCCTCTTTGCAGACAGCAGTGGCCCTTCCAGTACAGTCTCCAGTGCAGGCCCATCCTCCCCAACCTCTGTGGACAACTGTGCTCGCTTCAGCTTCACCGAGAAACTTTCCATCAGCCCCCCAAAAAGTGAGGAGCAGCTGAATAGCCAGTCCTCTGAGCAAGAAGAGGGACAGCCACCAGGCAGAGGGCTTGACGTGGAGGTAGAGGTGTCTGGGTTGTCGGAGCCGAGTGCCCCAGAAACCCTGACCTGGAATAAGGGCCCAGAGCCAGGCAGGGTCCTGGAGCTGTGTGAGAAGGAGCTGGTGGAGGAGGACTCTAACTCAGAGGAGAAAAGCGTGGTGGAGCTGGATGAAGAAGAATCAGCTGGGGAAATGTTAGAGCCGGGGAACCCAGAGTGTGGTGCAGGGTCTGATGTAAGGCTGTCTGGGGATGGTGTGAGGCCAGGTGAGGGATGTATGGGGGCAATGACTGGCCTGGATCAGTCAGGGCTGTCTAAGGAGAGCTTGGCGCCCTGTGAAGAGGAGCTGCTGGGAGACGTCCTGGACCCAGAGCACGTGGGCAAGGAGCTACTGGGGGACAGTGCTGTGCCAGGCCATGGGCAGCCACTGCCTCCTGAGAGAAGTGAGGAGGAGCTGCAGCTGCAGTGTCAGGGGGATCAGCAGAATTAGTGGCTCAATGGATAGCAAACTGCAAGCGCTTCTACCCTGGAGGCAGCCCGGTTTCCTGCACAGCACCTCATGCAGCTGGCTGTCCACAGCACAGAACAAGCCATGTCCCAAGGCCACAGGACTCCAGGGTGTGGAAGAGTCTGCTCTGCTCCTCCACAAGCCAGCTCTTTGCCACTTGGCAAGAGACAATGCGCCTCTGCCTTGTTAAATGAACAACAGATGCATGGCACCTCCATGGAGCAGAGACATGGGGCTGCACTGGTGTCCCAAGGGCTGTATGCTTGCTGGGACAGCCCAGGCTTTTGGGGTGGTAAGTCCAAAGGGGACAGATGCTCCCTTGAGATTTTTTGGCCCATAGCCTACAGAGAAAGGCAGTCTGGGCCCAGAGCAATCAGATCCATCACAACCACCAACCTCTTCTCTGTTCCTTCCTTCTTCCTTTCTCAATTCCCATCACTGGCCACCAAAACAGGTCCAGAGAGTCCGTAGCAGGAAGACTAGGAGAAGCAGAAAGCATTCTGAATGAGTGTGGCGAGTAGTGAGGAGATCAGGTGCAAGACTGCCACTTGCAAGAAAACATCTCTTTGGCGTGGACTTTGATGTTTTCCTGCTGGGCTGGGGCGGGCAGGCGGGAGCCTGGGGATCCAGCCTGAGAGAGGTGGGCAGGGAGGACACACACGGGTTTTTTCTAGTCCCCAAGGGTCAGGCAGGGCACAGCTCTGAAGTCTTGGTGACAGAAATTAAAAGAAACTGCTATTTAAACAAATCAGGATTATTAGAAACCAATAAGGAGATATCTTTAGTATATATAAAATGAAAAGTATTTAATACATATTTATGTAAATGACTTGTGAGCACAAGCCTGAGGGCAAGGTTGATACGGGTGTCCCTGCTGCATCCCGAGTGCAGGCCAGGGCTGTGCCTCCTGCGCCTCCTGTATTTGTGGACAAGTCTGTGTGTTTGTCTGTAGCTAGGACCTGTGTTTCTGTGAAGCTGTGCCCAAAGATATCCACACTGTATTGTGATGATGATGTGTGTTCACAGTAAATTGATGCTGTGGGTCCAATGTCTCTGTCTCTGATGCTCACCTGGGCAGCAGTGGATGCAAGGGAGCGAGCCCTGCTCATTTTTTGCCATCCTGGAAGAGGAACTGTGGCTGAAATCACTACTGAAGTGAGTGTGTAGGCATGAGGCTGTGCTCAAGAAGGCCACATACCTCTTTTCCTCCACAAATGAACTGGTCATACTAGGGGGAGCAGTACTGGCTCCCCAGGTCCCAGGGTGGTTTGTGGTTGAACAAAAATACCGGGTCAGCATGCTCAGCTCCATTCACTAGGTCCACACCTCACTGTCATTTCCAAGCACATCCGGCAGACCGTGTCCTCTTCCTCACCCCTGATAACCCCTACCTGCAAGGTTGGGCATCTCAGAAAGGTCATGTTCGCTTGCACTTGCAGTGCAGCAATGGAACAGTGTCTGGAGCGCAGGACCGTGCGAGGGGCAGGCCTGGCTGCCCTCTCCACAGGGCTCTGGGGGAAGGAGACCCCCTACAGGGAAGTGCACTGGCTTTCATTGGCAACCCTGCGCTGAAGACATGGAGGAACAGAGGCCTCGGGTGGTGCCGGGGGGCTGAGGCTGCAGGCCCCTGGCCCGGGAGCTGGCAGTGGGAGCACGGGAGGCAGAGCAGCACCAGATCCCGCACCCTTCAGGGTCAGTAATGGTGGGAATGACAACGGGAAGCAGCTCACAGCCATGGCTCTGCTGTGGCTCTGCAGCTCAGTGGGAGATTGGGCCCAAGAGAGAGGCCAGAGGGGGCTTGTGATGAAAATTACAAACCTCCATATCCCTAAATTTAAAGGATTTCTATAAATTCTAATTGGTGTCTAATTTCAGCTTCTAACTATATCTTTTGGTTGCTGGAGTCCTCTAGCCAGAAATTAGTTGCATTGGTACTTTGCATAGTGACAATACTGTGATGTTTGTAGGATCAGAGGGTAACAGGGAGACAGGCTGGTGACTTGTGGCTGGTGGTGCTTGTGCTGTGGCAGCAGAAGTCCTGAACTCAAGGGCACGTATTATCCTACAGACAGCTAAGAAGAAAGCTGGGCTGCCCTCCGTGGTGCAGGAGCGGGGCTCTGGGCTGTATCTGCTCTCTTCCATAGATAGGCCAAGAAGGGATGGTGCCCTTTATTCTAAAAGAGCTGCTTATTGGCTGCCAATGTTGAGAAGTTTGTGGTCTTTCATGATGCTCTCACGCTTCAAATGAACATCTGCAGCCTGTGTTGTGAAATCTGAGCACTGACCATCTTCTCTTAGTGGTCTTTACCCTATTTTTTGGCTTAGCAGCAGCAGTGATTAATCCACAAAGCCCTTCCCAAATGGAAGCATGGTGTAAGGAAGGGCTGTGACTCACAGAGGAGGTGGGGGGAAGAAAAGGATGGTTGCAGTTTCTGGGCACAGCAGCAGAAGCTGGTATTTTTGGCTTAATCCTGCCAAAGCCGGTTCCTGCTCCTCAAATCTATGCTAAAGCAGCATAAGGTGCACTTTCAAATGCCTTTGGACTGCATAAATAGTGATGTGCACAAGTGGCTGCTGCATGGTCCTGTGTCTCTGGCTGGGGGTAGCCACAGACTTTGCCTGTAGTGGCTGGGGTAGTTTGGATCAGGCTTGTCAAATCCCTGGCCGATGTAACTAAGTAAAACTCTTTTCCTGAGTTGTTGACAGTGTTTGCAGTGGGAAAACAGTAGAAGACATGGGCCCAGGCCGTGTGGCAGAACAGGCAGCAGACAGCAACTGTCTGTACCGAGGAACCAGAGTACAGCAATGGCCTGTGTGCTGTGGAAAGCGGCTGGCCTTCTCTCGGTCAGTCGTTAGAGCTGCAGGAAGGGCCGGGCTGTGCAGCCTGTGCAAGGTTTGGGCTTTGGTTTTCAAGGTCCAGGCAGCCCTGACTGTTGAAAAAAGACCAAGCTCAATATTGCTGCTTTTGCCTTGGACACTCCTCTGGTGCACCAGTTGGCAAATACCGAAGGAGCTGGTTAAGCAAGGGCCATGTCATTGCCTTACTGGGACCAGGCTTTTGCTTACCTGTTCTGGTTTCTCAGAGCCATGCCCCTTCCCCACAAGTTACTAACCCTTGTCTCCCTCCCCAGGTCCTGCACAGCAAATGACAGACGCAGATGACCAGTAGAGGACACTGGTGTCTGCGCTTGGTGTGAGGGTCCTATGTCCCTACTCCTCCTGTGGTCCAGGACTGTTGGTTCCAGTGCTGCTCAGCGAATGGGATGTTCTTTTGCTGGCCACAGGGGGACAATAGGCCCAGGAGCTTGAAGGATTGCTGATTGCCTCTTGTTAAAGTTGCTCTGCAGGAGGGTCCTTAGGCTCCCACCACTGTACACCTCTGGGGAATGCATGTACAGTCACAGCCTCTCAGTGAGCAGCAGCATGGTGATGTCTGTATGCTTGCTTAGCTTGAAAGCAGCTGTGGAAACAATTCCTGGTTTAGGGTAATGGTTTGTGGTTCCTCCCTGGTTAGCAGCAGCTTCGGCAGTTGCCCTGAGCTCTCCATCACATGCTGCGCAAGCTGTGCCATGCTCTGGGGCCAAGATGGCCTCTTTTCTGAGGGCCATAGCCCAGTCCCTGCTTTCCTTTTCCCTTGCATTCAGCTGTGCCATTGTCTCCTCCTGGACACCCAGGCAGGAGCAGAGCTGAGAGGGCAGCAGCGCTCCAGCACCAGCAGAGCACAGGGCTGCTGCCCTTGCTTGCTGCTGAGTAGCTAAAGAGCTGAAATCAAGTGCCTCCTGCTCGAGAGGTCAGTTTGGATTTGCAAAGGTACAAAGGCCCACTGCTGCAATGGGCACTGGCAGCATGGGATGCCCTATCAGTGCCCACAGGCCCCAAGCCAAGTCCCTCCTGCCTTCCGCAGGACCAGAGATGTGTCCGGTCTTAGGAATGCCGGCAGCGCTGGTCAGAGCTGCTGTGCCAGGAGCGCAGGGCCCCAGCAGAGGCCCACCAGAGAGAGCGTGAGCAGGAACCACAGCGGCAGGACGGGCTGTGCTGGGCTCCGCACCATAGCACTGGGGGCTGCGTCCACAGCTCGGGCCTCAGCCGTGGTGTGGGGGGCAGGGAGGGGGGGGGTTTCCCCGATAGGCTCCGTGCCCCTGTGTCAGTGCAGGTGGGGTGTTAGTGGCAAAGCCGGGGCTCACCTCAACTCGTGGAGGGAAGGCAGCAGAGTCCCTGTGCCCCTGCCTGCAGCAGGGACTCACTCAAAGAACAGTTTGAAACCGCTGGAAGTGTTCTTGTTCGCAGTTAATGTGGCTTTATTATGAATGTGCTGGGCTCCTCTCTTGACAGCAGTTAGTTACAGAGTGTTTCACATGGAAATGGGCAAAAGGACAGAACTTAAGGAAATATATTCAAAAAGAAACATGATAGTGAAGTAAATCAGGGCTCTGTTCTTAAGACACTTAGCATAGAAGAAGCTAGGAGCACAAGTTGCCATTTCAATACAGTTAAGACGTTCACTTCTTTAATTATAGGTTTAAAATAGTATTTTGTACCTATTACATACAGGAAGATTACGCGTTGTTGCCCACATGCAGAAACAAGCAAAAGCAGAGTTTAACTCTTTCTCTCTATAGTGTTGTATTACCTCTGGCTCTGGATGGGTTCTGCTGGCTCCTGCAGGCTCAGCAGGAGCAGAATCTTTAAAAATTGGCATTTTTACAAGGTTTTTTCCCCGTAGTGGAAGGGAGGAAGGGAGGGAGGCAGGAAGGGCGTATTGTGTGAAGGGGGGGGGGGGGGGAGGGCGGGGAGGGAGAGAAACTGAAGGGAGAACAGACAGACACAAAAGACTAAACAAAAAGTGTGGTGCCTCGAGGCAGAAGCGAACTGGTGCAGGATAAACGTGTCCAAGCAGCACGGCTGCAGAGTGCAGCAGCGCCGAGCGCATCGATTTCGCTAGAACACGTGCCAGTGACCACACTCCTGCCCGGAGGACGCAGGCACCTTGCAAAGCCTCACTACTGCTGCTGCTTAGTCAGAATTGCTTCAAGTTTAAAACTGAGAAAACATTCATGTGTGGGTCTATCTAAAGTTAGTGCATTAGCTTTTACGCCTAGCCACGCTTCGGGATCCAGGGAGCCAGTCAATGAGGGTTGCATTCGTTCCTGCACTGCTGGGAGCAGCCCCACTGCAGGTGAGCCAGGAGCTCCCCCCCCTTCCCCAGCAGTGTCCAGGGGCAGCAGGAGCAGCTGTGGTACCACCTGCAGTTGCTTGCCATAACCAGCATTCATGGACACTGACCCCACTGGGTTACAGACAACGACATTTATTCTTCTGGCAGACACGCTGTGATTCCATGGTTAAAATGAGTACAGCACAGGGCAGGGATTTGCTAAGTCCCCGAGCGAGCTGACATGCTCCTAACAAGGGCTGTGCCAAAGGGCTGGCTGTGGCCAGCCTCAGCCTTCTGCTGCAGCCTCTGTGGTTCAAACACAGCTGTGCTGGCTGCAGGCAGAGCCCTGCTGCTGCCAAGCAGGTTCTCTGTGGCCTTTGTATGTTGTTGTTCAAATTGCAGCATCTAAGTATTTACACTGAGAAACCTCTGAACTGACACTAAGAGCACATGGTGTCATGGCAACATGTATAAATTAAAATAGGAAATCTACACAAAATGCAGCTTAACATCAAAAAATAAATATATAAATTAAATGCAAAATAAACAATTACCCTAGAAACTCCATTTTAATCCTAGGAGCAGGTTTCTAAGCAGCATTTTCTTTGTGTCGGCTGCCAGAAAACAAGCACTGAGACTAACATGTCCCAGGCAAGCACAACACAGGGTCCTGGGTGCCTATTATGGAGCCAGACCTCGGCTCTGGGCCAAGTAACAGTGGGTGACACAGCAGATGGAAATACCTTTGAGCTGTATGTCAAGCCTTGCAGTATTGCTTTCTAGCTGATCCCGCCTTCCCCAGAGCACACCCTACTGCCACCCTTTGTCTTACAGAAAGATAAACGCCATCTTTGTGATAGGTCCCTCTTGCAATGCTCTCAGATTCTAACATTCCGGCTGCTCTCCCGGCAGGAGCTCCGCAGCTGGGATGGGTTTGGAGACTAAGGAGGCTCCAGGTGACTGTTAGTAGCAATGATGCACTCGGGGCTACACTTGTGCCAGGATAGCCAGAGAGCAACCCCCATAGTAGGTGTGCCAGCAGCTGGCTGCATGGTGCGCACAGCACCCTTTGACAGCACCTCCACTATGCTGGCACTAGGACTCTGCTCGTCCCTGCCTGGCATGTGAGGTGACTGAGAGCAGCTACACTTGCTGAACTAGTCTCCCCACATGTTTGTGGAATGGGGTTTTCTTTCCTTACACCACAGGTTCTGTTCCTTGTGTCCTGGACACTTTGTGGGGACAACATGAAGCTCGGACACAGCTAAGAGCTCGGGCCAGTGGCAGTGAGGGACCTGCTGCTGCTGCAGAGCTGGCACACGCCCACCAGCCTCTCTCAGGCGGGTCCCTCAGCTGCCTCACCACAATCCTCAAGAAAGCCTTTGGTTTACAAGGACAGGGAGGTTTCTCGTACATCTTAGGCCAACAGTGGCTGGGGTTGTTTCAGCGCTTCTGCTATACAGGGGGCTGTAGTTGTGCGTTTGGATACTCTAAAGAGAGTGTGACTCTTCAGGCAACAGCCCCTCCGTGTCTCCTACTGTCACACTGCTGATGTGCAGGAGTAAGTCGGCCACTTTGTGAGTGCAAAGCTCAAGTTAGCAGGTTAGGAATGTGCTCTTTGTAGCAAAGAACAGGTTGAACCCTCCCCTCCCACCTACATCCCCAAAACTGTCCTTCATCCCAGTTCCTTGAGCATAGCCAGCAGGTGAAGCAGGATGCTACAACCAAACACCTGGGACAGAAACCTGCAGAGAGAGCTGGCAAGCAGGGGTCCTGCCTACCTGGAGTACAGGACCCTTACTGAGAACACCACCTGTATGTTGCGGATGGGAGATGGAAGAATGACCTTCACTGTCATGTTACAGTTGGAGGGTTTCGCCTTCCCTCATTTTCTAGGTGCATTTTCTTTGCAAATTAGTTTTCTTCTCTGTCCCTCCTACCCCCCATGCACTGTCTACATGCAGCAGCAGCACTTCAGCCCTCACCAAAAAGATGAGGTTCGTGGTGCTACAGTTAAATGGCAAGGCAGCCAGGAAGAGAGTAGAACAAGCTCTCACAGCAGCAGGGCAGCCAAAATAGTCTACAGAAATGGTACAGGCAGCCAAATAAAGCAGGGAAAATGAAAGTGCCCCTGGCCTGCAACTGCTCTTGCACAAATTCTCAGCTCAGTCCAGAATATTAGAGCCCTACACTTCTTTCTCATGGTATCCAGTGCTGAGCTAGATGGATACCCGATTGCCTGACAAATGGGAACCATGTAGAGGACTAAACCAGAGAAGAACTGGACTGTGATTAGATGGTGTCTCTGATGTTGCATCGGTGATTGGATAGTCAATGGATGAACGCAAAGTGTGGAAGATTTAGAATTCGATCTTACAGGCTGGAAAAGATTCATCCTGCATTACAACAGTGCTGCTGCTTGCCAGTACCATGATGTTTAGCTCCTGCTGTTTCTCATGGGTCTGTTGGTACCATTCTCGTGTCACCTCAGTATCATGTGTTGGGATCAATGTCACCTGGGAAAAGAAAGCAGCAG